GATATTGCAGGTTTCGCCTGCACGATGGCATGAAAGCTAGGTATATACCTTCCCAGTGACACACATCCCGAAGCAAATGGAGGTCCAAATGGTTCTACCTTGAGCTTAAAGAACTCGATCCGGTTCTTGTCGTGCCTGAGGACCAACCATAGCGATTCGAGGGCTTGGACCTCCAAACCCCAGTTAACCCCTTCTCTTGAAGCCTTCATGAACGTCATCAGTGACCTACGAGAGCAAGGGTTGACTGGGTATGAAATCACCAAGGACTTCATTGCCTGGCGTATTCAGCCGCTTCAGGCCCGTGCCCATCCTGCTTTCGATTTCACGGGGGATTTGGACGTGACACGGATCTCGCCGTGGGGTACTCGTTCTCGTGTCGCAGTTTCCTTTTTTCTTTAGGTGCTGCTCCGTACTTTCGGTTTGACTCGAGTTCATTTTTCTGTTTTTCAGCTCTTCACGATGACATCGTGACGCAACGGGTGAAGGACGTGTTGATCAGCTCTGCCTCCGCAGCCGAAGAGCCGCCCGTTCCCCTCTGCGACAAGCCAGCGGCCGACAAGGCCGCTGCCATCAACGTGAGTGAGCTGAACGCCTATCACTCTTTCATCTTGTAGGACAACAAAGTGACCTCAACTCCTGCAGGATCTACCTTTGATGGATGTCATCGGTCCTCACGTGGACCACCAGACCTCCGCCTCTCTCAAGGAGAAGGTCGCACAGGAGGTTGTTGGAGTCGCGCTGGTCCCGCCGCCGCGGGGGTTAGCGGACGAAAGAGGAAAGGATGGGCATACTCGAGCGGCGGCTCCGGGTCGCGCCGTAAGTCCGGCGGCTCCGAGGTAGACCACCTTCACCCCTCTCCTCGTATTTGGATTTCTAAGAAGGCATGGGGCTAAGTTCTCGTTTGCCATCTTACATAGGACACCAGCGATCTTCGGTCGTCTCCCAAGAGGAGGCTGCTGAAGGGGGGCCACGGGGCAAGTAAGTGAAACTCTGAACTACCCCTTGTTATCTTTTATGCATAGAGTTCCCATCACCTTCTCAAATGTGCACCCAATGTTAGCAGGGCAGCTTCGACAACCCCCGCGCATAGCAGGGACGAGGTGGCGACGTGTACGACTCCTGCCGCAAAAAGAAATTCCGACCTAGACGAGATGGGTGAAAATGCTCAAAAAGGCGATAGAGATGGGGTTAAGATGCAAGAGGGAGAGACCGTAGAAGTTCAAGATCAGCAAAAGAAATTCCGACGGCGGTGGCAAGAAGCCACTGCGAACGAAATCTTCTACTACTACCATGCGACCTAGGGCAGGGGAGGGAGCAGTACCTCCTTCTTCTTTGGCCATGTTTTGCTCGGGAGGAAGGGCTCCGTCGATGGAGAGCTTCGCCAGCGTCGCTAGGTCGGAGGTCGAAATGCCGAGGTCCACCACTGGAGGAAGATCCCCGGAGCAAGACGGAAAAACTGAGGGAATTTGGGGAGACGAAAGGTCCGAGACTGTTGGAAGGCTAGAGAACTTTTTAGCAAACAGACTTGAAATGGATCCCAAAATCCCCTTAAATAAGTGCACTACCTGACGGATTGAATTTCGAGGAAGGAGAGAGATTGCCGCCGAAAAATCCTGAGGCCCGTTAAGGGCAGTTGTTTAGACTTCAATTCAAATTCATGTTCAAGCAGCCGGACTTCCGTTAGTGTTGTTAATAGCTTCTCGCTTTGTCGGTCCTATACCGAGAACGATATGAGATGAGTCGCGAATGACAACATAAATTCATTTGAGTTGAAGTCGGGGGCTACGGTCGGGGTTACGGATAAGGCATACCTCCTATCCTACGACTTATGGAATATGCCGATAAGGTATACCTTCACGTATACGGATTGTTCCCGTTAATGTCGCGTGTAAACCGTTCCGAATTATAGAAAATATCTCTACGAGTCAAGTGATTTCCAAAGTCCTACTCGGAAGGGATAGAGTTTCTGTTATACCGTACCAGGTCCGATATCCTCAAACCTTTCTTGGGGATCAAGATGATCCACAGTATAAAAGGGACCCCTGGGAGAGGTTCAGGGCATCGAATTCCATGGCCAACACACCCACCAAAGTTTACGAAGCTGGAGTACACGGAGCCAACTCGTCGAGAGATCTCATCGAATCCCTTGACTACGATCTCGTAGGTACCATCTGTTTCGACTACTCTTTTTGTAATCTGTTCTCATCATCATCAATCTCATATAAACTGGACTAGGGCTATTACCTGATAAGGGGCCTGAACCAGTATAATCCTTGTCTTTTGTCTGCTTGATGTCGTACTACGTAGACCCTCGTTCCAACGTACCCCAATATTCTACTCATCCGGTCCGCCAGTATCACTCGTCAACAATTCTGTCCGTATATTTTTCTTTTCGTTGTTTTCTCTCCTTCTTTTTTACGTTTTCCCTTTCTTTCCATCCGCTTCTCTTTTTTTCCCATTTTTCCGTTTTGTTCCATATGTCCATTTTTTTGGGCAGTTTTTTCCGTCAGTCATTTTTTTGCTTTTTTTCACCCTCTTTTCCCTTTTTTCTCTCTCCTTGTTTTTTTGTCTTGTCCTTTTTCCCGTGAGTTTTTTCTTCTCCTTTTTTTAGGTTTTTTTCCATCCTCTGTTTATTTTACTTTTTTTCATCGCTTTTTTCTGGTTTTTTCCATCCGCTTTTTTTTCGATATGTTTTTTAAATTGTAGTTTTTCGTACGTGGTAAGGATTTGCTCTTTTATCTGCCATGTTTTGTTTTGTTGCCGGACCGAATCCTAGCGCCGCCGCCACGTCGATTTACCTCCCCATGCGTTCCCTGCTCCAATTGATTGCAAAAATCGATTTCCCATTATCCCCTCATCGTTTTCCCCATGATTTTCCCTTCCAGTTCTGTTTTAATTCACCAAATTTAATCTTCATTTAAAAGTCACTGTTTTTATCGAGTTTTGCGAATGCGCTCCGATTTTGATAAAAAGGAAAGAGGAGATCGAGTGTATCAAAAGAGATCGAGAAAGATTCGACCAGATTTGATGGGGAGGATTGGTTTTGGCATCGTACGGATACGAGACTGTCTTCCGGCGAGGTTGAAGATGGCATTCGGCTATGCGAGCTAGACCTACTGCTCTACTTCTGAGTTGGGTCAAAGAGAGGTAGGCCAAGTAGAGGGTGGTAGCAGGTTGGGCTGGGACTAAAAAAGAAGGAATGAATGAGCTTTTGGTCTAAAACCAAAGAGTATAAAATGTATGGCGATCCAAAAATATTTTTACCCGTTGCAACACACGGACATTTTTCTAGTAAAGAATATATGTATTTACTTGAAAGTCTCTTCTATACTTTGCTTGTAGATTTACTCCACATAGTTTCTTATTTCAACTCTCTGGTAATGTAATTACTTCCGATGCTATAAAGAGTTACTTCTATTGCATAGCTAAGTTACTTTTACAATTTAAATACATTATTTTTAGATTAAAAAAGTTTGAATATATTCAACATTGAAATCATTTTGTCACATATTTTGGGCGGAGTATAATGGTGCAAAAAGTTCTTAAAAATAATATACGATTTAAAATATATGAGTCATCAACGAGACTTAAAAGAAAGATACGCTAGGGACCGATCTATATAAATACTTGTTGCGATAAGGGGGATTTATTCGTCACGTGGGATGAAGTGATCTCTAGTTTAACCAAACTAGCTACCGTGCACTGTGTAGTCGTGTCATTAATTAAGTATTAGCATAAAAAACTTGAAAAATAGATTAATATAATTTTTTAAAGTAACTTTTCTATAGAAAACTTAAAAAAACACACTAAGTTTAAAAAGGGTCCGCGTAAAAAATGAAAGAGCAGAAGTTGAGAAAGTTGGGAAAGAACACAACTCTTGGAAGTTTGGGGAAGTGGTTTTAACTTTGAACTGGATAAGGACAATAGAGAGACATATATAATACTCCATCCGTTTCAGGTTATAAGATGTTTTAACTTTGGTAAAAATTAAACTGCTTAAAGTTTGATCAAGTTTATAGAAAAAAGTAGTAATATTTTCAATCCAAGGTAACTTTATTATAAAAATATATTTAATTATTAATTTAATAAAACTAATTTGATAATGTAAATATTTCTATATTTGTCTATAAACTTAGTCAAACTTGAAGTAGTTTGACTTTAACCAAAGTCAAAACATGTTATAACCTAAAACGGAGGGAGTAATAAGATTACTTTTCTTAAAACGATAATGGGATTACTAACACTTTCTATATCCTTCCCTGTGTACATCTGAATTCCGAACTACCTCATCTTCTATATTCAAGTATTTTCCAATTCTCTATTTTCCGCCCATTTTTTTTCCTATTTGTACGATTTTTCTATTCCTACAATTTTTTTTCTACCATGGCTATGTTTGTGTGCCAAATTTTAAGTATACGGACACACATTTGAAGTATTAAACATAGACTAATAACAAAACAAATTATATATTCCGCATGTAAACTACGAGACGAATCTATTAAGCCTAATTAATCCGGCATTAGTAAATATTTACTATAGCACCATATTGTCAAATCATGGCATAATTAGGCTTAAAAGATTCGTCTCGCGATTTACATGCAAACTGTGCAATTGATTTTTTTGTCCACATTTTATGCTCTATATATGTGTCCAAACATTTGATGTGACAAAAAAGTTGAAAGTTTGAAGAAAATATTTTGAATCTAAACACGGCCTATGTGTTCCAAATGAGCCTAAAAAATTAGATTTGTCTGAATACCTTTAAACTAGCAGATTTTGTAGGTCTTCTCGAGGTTCGCAATGGCTAGATAAAGTACGGTAACCGGTTGGTAATTTGTCAAAAGAAATAAATTATTTTGAACTTACCTTATTTACTACAGTTTTTCAATTCGTACCGACCGGAGCACGTGGCTCTGAAAATGTGGATCAACTAATTCCAAACTGAATAATTCACCCGAAATGCCAACGCAAATAATCATTACTGCAGAATTGATCAATCCTTTTTTTTTTTGAAAAAGAACAATTCATCAATTATTTTGGGTGGTAGTTGGAAACCCACGCATAGTACAGTTTGCAGTTTGACTCAGTTAACACGGAATACGCTGAACTGCATAGCAAGCAGCAACTTACTCAGTGAAACATGAGTAGTTGGGTAAAACACTCCAACAAATGTTATACAAGATCCTGTGGGTCATCCATCTTCTCACTTCTCGGCGCTAATATAGTACAGGGAGATATATGGAGCAACAAATGTGTACATACGGTTTTGCTCTAGTACAGGGAAACACTGCGAAAAGCGGTGCTAGAGGCCTATTCTCTCAGCATTGTAAAGATACCATGGTTTTTTATGAGGTTCTAATGCTTGGTGTTAGCATTTTGTAACGTTCAGATCCTTGCGATCGATGGAGCTACCTGTGCAGCCATTACAGGCCATTTCCAACTGCTACGTAGTAACTAAAAGCACATTTTGCAGTTACAGAATCCCAAGTACTTAATCCTTGGGAAGGGTGAGATCATCAGCAGAAGCTACCCTTTTTCCATTATAACGCTGACAAAATGAACCAAGTACCAACGTAAGAACATGACAAAAGATAGATCACTGACTAGTACAACTAACAAATAACTGAATGTAGTACAACTAACAAATAACTGAATGATTAAAATATTTTGCTTACCTGCTTCCCGAAGGAGAATGGAACATATCTGTATTTTATCATATGAAGAATCTGTCGCTTCATTGTGACTGTAAACAAAACCACCCAATAGAATAGAAGAATAGGCCAAAACACAGGCACATCGAACACACTGAAGAACGTCAGGACAAAAGCAATACAGAATGCTTTAACAATGGAATACCTGTAAAGGAGAAAGTCAAATTAAAGTTAGTTTTATCTGTCAAAGAAAAAATAACTTCACAGAAAACACAGCAGACATGGTAATGTAACCTTGACTACGGTCCTTTAACTAAAAATAAAGCACATTATCATACTAAGAGACAAACGTCACTTGATATATTCAACAATACATCCAACTTAGTACTACAGCAATTCAGCCACTGAAACTTTTTTTATATCACTTAGGCACAAGTGTGAAGCCCCACAAACATTTAATAGGTTGCCATATACATGAGATAGGTTTTAAGGCAAATTTCTTGATATGACAATTCAAACAAAGAAAATTGAGAAATTAAAAATATAGAAGAAAGTTAGCATGTTTACAACAAGGCAAAGCAGTTTTGATAACTGTACAGGAATAAAAGTACAAATCATTGAAAACATATTCAGTAATATGTTTATTACCATGTATAGCAGTTGTGATGATTACTGAGAAATAAAAGTAGAACTCACTGAGGACATCTCAAATTCACTTGACTTCAGATGTAACAATGAACAGATAATGTGGTTGGATCAAAACAGACGACATATTGAGAATAGTATAGATTTCCATCCATCAATTGTACAATCTACATTTAGGAAATAATCAAATGATGACAACAGAGAATGGCTTCTCCACATCTACATGTAAGTAACCACCACCACTACCATAACCAAATGTGCCTCAAGATAAGATTCATGCAAACCTTCCAAATTCAATCAACTTAAGGCCATCTTCTAGAATCCCCTGAAAGCATCTAATAACAACATAATAACCGGAACTAATCGCATTTGCTAAGTCTGAAAGGATTTCATCTAGACCACTGGCTAGTGATTAGGCAAACACTGCTCTTGTTCTTTATACTTTCCAAGAATTATCTTGCTACTGTAGGATTTCCTATATGTTGCAAAACTAGGGCAACACTAGTTTTAAATCTTAGGCACTAGGTTAGTTTTCTGCTTGCAATTAGGTTTTAATTGATAGCCTTAGTTTTGAATTGATGAGTAATGTGTTGCACAAAAAAAAAATCCCTGTAAGAGATAATTCACATAAAATCAATCAGCTACCTACATTTACACACGTACAGAGGTTTAAATATATCTAAAAAACAACACACATAAGCATAAGGACATTAGTTAACCCAAAAAATGATGTGGAAGGGGTGGGCAAAAGTGCATCATCACAATCAATCAACCACCAATCTCCATTTAAATGAGTAAAAATATCCATAAGAGCCAAAAAAAGGGGGGGGGGGGGGGAGAACCAGGGCAAGAAAAAGGGGGGAAGAAAAGAACACAACCAAAGTTCTAAGAGCAAGAACACGTCTCCCGTACCAAGCACATTAAGTTAGATGTTAAAAGAAACTCTTCTGTTGACATTAATTTGTTCCTTAAGTAAAATAAAGGATGAAGATGACCTTTCAGAAAACTTGTATCGAAAATCAAATTTAACTAAATAAAGCCTAAAGAGCACAATGCTAATATGGCACATCAACCAAGAGGTATTCCATTAAATCCCACTGTAAGTAACATCGGAAAGCTCTCCCAGTCTAGCTTCATCCTTTTTTCTCAAGGTGAACCATCAGTCAAGTTGGTTGTAACTGTAACACTAACATGAAATAATGTCACATTGTTTCTAAAGAAAAATAAATAAAGTACAAAATATATGGATGGAGATTATATAAGGCGAATTGGCAACTGTTTAAATTATTGGAATGCTACATCATCAGATTAATAAAAAAATGTCTGGTAAAGAATGATACATACAGAGGTTCCCGTCAATCAACATAGTTGTCAGTTATAACCCTCATCAACACATCGCAACAATTTAAAAACATACAAAGATACTGTACACTGTAGTGTCCAATTTTAAAGGTGAATATATGTATATATAGGAATACATAGCAGAACAATATAGCTTGTGGTAGTGCAGTATCACTGCATCAGAAATGTATTACCCCATAAGGAATATATTTTGTGATATGGCCTTCAAAACATGGAAAGAGGTGAACAGAGGGTATGAATTTATGGTAACTCAAGATAGCAAGGTGAAACAGAGATAATTGATCTTGCCCTCATGTATGCAGCAGGGCACATTCCTACCCAGTATGCAAAGCAACTGAGCCAATATTTAATTATCGCCTCAAAATGGCTTAACAACTCAACTTAAGGTGAGTTTGGAACTCCTTCCTCCAACTTCTGATCCCTCGTTTTCCATGAGCACGCTTCCCAAACTGCTAAAAGATGCGTTTTTTTTTTTTGCAAAAAATTTCTATAGAAAAGTTGCCGTAAAAAATCATATCAAACCATTTTCAAGTTTTTTTAGTTAATAATTAATCAAGCGCTAATGGGATACCTCGTTTTCCATGCGGAGGGAGAAAGTTCTCAACTGTGACTAACGAACACAGCCTTATAATGATCGTTTAACCATCTTACCTCTAAACCCGGAACTAAGTTACGAGGAAATTACCTTTTGACACTAAAAAACATCCTCTTACTTTTACCCCTGACTTCGACCACTCCATCTTCTTCTCAATTCTTCTTCCCCATGCCTCCTTCCCAAATCAAGCTCCACCCACTCCCTCTCGAAACTGAGCTCACACACCCCCAGCAAACTCACAATCGCTTCAGCTACCTTCTACCCATTCTGCTGTGGTCAAACACAATTAGCTTTGTGCAACCCTACTGGTCCTCAATTCCACACGACGCAGGAAAGGGCAGCGACCTCACAGATCCAACCCCTCCTTCCCTCCGGACCCCACCCCGTCATCCAACATGGCAGGGGGAGGTCAGTGTGACCATTGGATTCCACTATGCAGATTCTCATGGCACGTTAATTTGTCTGTTTAGTCACTATTTTGCTCCATCACCATGGGTTTGCCACTATAGCTGGCTTGCATGGCCATCCGAGCTGTTGCCATCAAAAGCTCTGGAGTGGTGTTGGTCCATTTCTGCAGATCCTAGCCTTTGCCGTCAATCTTTCCACAGGCACCAAGCTCCCTGAACCCACCATACACACCTGTCTCCAATCTGTTTCAGAACAGAGAAGATGGAAACACATAATCCTGTTCTCTCTCATGAGTGCATTTAAATTCTTATTAGTGCAGGACCAACAGGCCTTTAAGGTAATTATGGTTGAACTGAAAGAAAGAGATAATGCTCCACTAATCAATTCAGCTGCCACCATGCAGGGGAATAAAGAGATAGAGCATGCAATGAGTGGAGGAAAAAAAGGGGCATTCTCATATTTATTTATCTGACATGTGGGATCTAGCCAAAGCACATTAACCAGGCAGAATAGCAGAAGAAGGGCAAAAAATGAACAGATCTCTAATGGTTGGATGGTAAAACAGAGGTTAAGAAAATTAATGGTAAAAGTGAGAAGAGGGCGCTCCTCAATGGAAAAGGCTAATTCGTTTCCCATAAGTTATCTCCTACAAGCATTATCTCCTACCTACCTCCTGCAACACACACTTGTCCTAGTTTTCCCAGCACTGCTGCTCCCCACTAATCTGATCCCAAAAGGAATCAATAACAGTGTTGGAAGTTGAACATATGAAATTTTATGTGTAAACCTCTAAGGGCCAAAATTCGCTTAAAGTAAAGTCCCCACATGGGGCATTAACTATGCTTGCGTATCAATTTGCTGACTTTTCTGTCCTACTTCACCAAAAGGGTCTAGCAAGAGTTACTACATTTGGATACATTGAGTTTATATGGTAGCCAAACAAATATGAAGTCTATGCAGGACAAATCTCATCACTGTTGCAACTGAGCCATGCTGGACACCACAAATGGGCTGAGATGCTGCACTATTACTGAAACACCAATAGCACGGATAGGATAAATATGGTATGTGATGAGAAACCAGGAGCCTGTTTATGATAGAGTTGTGCTTATGTTATTTAACCTCTTATTTCTTCAGTATTGTTATTAGCACAGATAGCATAAAATTGATATCTTGCAAAATACTAATTTTCTGTTTAGAAGTGCATGTCATCAAGAACTACTTTCAAACATCACTTCTCAACTAATGAAGAAGCTTGACTCATCCAACGAAATAATATCCTGCCAAGCTACTCTCCTAGAACTCACCGTCCGACTACATGCACCTCAAAAGTTCAAATGAAAAGCATACTCTATTTGACTGGGAACTGTAAACTGTTGCACTCCCAGTATCCCCATTTCTTACACCAAAGTCAATTAACACGACCAATTTGTAGAAATAATCAAACAGCAGCTGGCTACTTAGCCATTGAATAAATTTATGTTCTATACTGACAGTCCAGCTTGCCAGGTGAAAACGTTTATAGTCTATGGCCAACTATATGTGGTACCATAAATGGAAGGCTCCTCCTTGATTATTGATAAAACCATGAGGCCTCAAGTCTCAATTCACCGAGTTCCAACACATCACAAATCCCAGGCCGGATTGCAGCTTATGTGGCACCACAACCTAAAGAACAGTTTAATCATACCGTGTTTGCGTGCATCCAATGAACCTCCCCCACCCGCTCCCCGAACCCCTCAGGCACTCACCGCCCACAAACCATACTCTTACGAAGATGTCAATCTGCCCGAGCAGAGGTTACATCAGATCCCAGAGAATTTGGTTCAAATCTCACACGACGGCTAAAAGATCCATCCTTGCAAGCCACCGAATATTTGAGCACAAGCAAGCAAGTAGCACGCATGTATAATCGACGAGCACGTCCATACGATAGCACACAAAAAAAGAGGGATCCCACAATTCGAGCTGGATTGCAACAAGGAAGAGGATTGCGTCGGATCGGATCGAACCAGAATTTGAACTCCGGAAGGCGACGGACGAAAGGGCGGAACTCGTCAGATGCGCGGGTGGGGAGCGCGGCCCCCCCCTCGCCGAGCACCTCGGCGACCTCGGGGTCGACCTGGGGCGAGAGGAAGGCGATGAGGAGGTTGAGGATGTAGATGCCGAGGGCGTAGGTCACGATGTAGTACCCTCCCGCGAACCAGACACGCAGCGCGTACGCGGCCGCCACGCCGGCGAAGGCCAGCCACCGCCGCCCGACGTGGGGCGTGGACCGGTCCAGCAGGTGCTGGAACCGCCTGGACGCCATCGCGACCGCGGAGGAGACGGCGACCGCCGGGCCCCCGCCGCCGCCGCCGCCGCCGTCACCGACAGCGGGGGCGGCGGCCGGGACGGCGGCGGAGGAGGAGGAGGGATCCATCATGGCGTCGGGCGGGGCAGCGCTGGGATCTCGTGCTCGTCGCGGTGGCCGAACGTGAGGGATCGGGGGGCTAGTTTAAGGCCTACACTAGTTGAGTTGGTCTTCACGATCCCGTCGCGGCCCGCGGGCAGAGGCCAGAGGCGGAGCTTAAGCCGAAACGCACGGTTCCGTCTACTTCAAAGTTTAGTTAAGCTAGGAAGAAAACAAAAATGCAAACTATACTAAAGCTAACCAAATTTAGATGAGATCATCATGGTTCATAATCAATCAATTCAATCACATCCACTTCTTCAACTAAATTTTCAATTGGCTAAAAGAAAATTTTTAAATGCCGGCCGTTTACCTTAAAAATGTTACCTGAGTCGTCACGGAGTGTGATTGCCCCTTGACGAGGTGTCGATGACATTGAACAGCCCTTCCCACTTGCTTTTTAATTTCCCGTGTCCAAATAGCTTACTCTAGAGTTGAACATTAATACCTTGTCCCATGGTTTGAACTTCTTCATTTTCACCCGCTTATCATGCCAACGTTTTGTTCTCTCATTGTAAATCTTGGAGTTATGATACGCTTTGTCTCTCCGCTCCTCCAATTCTGCCAACTGCATCTTACTCTATTCTCTAGCTCCTTCAAAGTCCATGTTCCAATTCCGGATTGCCCAGTATGCCCGATGTTCAAGTTCTACCGGAAGTTGACAGGTCTTCCCGTAAACTATCTGATACGGTGTCATCCCTATCGGCGTTTTATGGGCTGTCCGGTATGCCCAAAGAGCGTCCGGTAGCTTATCCTTCCATCCTTCCTCAATGGACTGTCTTTTGTAGAATGTTCTTGATTTGTTTATTTGACGTTTCTGCTTGTTCAATGGTTTGAGGATGATAGGGTGTAGCAATGTTATGCTTGGCACCCATCTTGCGTAGGAGTTCTCTGAAGGTCTTGTCAATGAAGTGCGATCCCCATCGCTTATCACCATTCTCGGTGTTCCGAAGCGAGGGAAAATGATCTCCGAGAAAATCCTCCTTGCGTGCTTTGCATCAACCGTCTTACATGCCATTGCTTCCACCCACTTGGATACGTAGTCGACTGCCACCAGGATATACTCGCAGTTATGGGACTTAGGAAATGGCCCATAAAGTCAATGCCCCATACATCAAATATTTCCACTTGTAAGTTGTATGTGAGGGGCATTGCGTCACGAGCAGTGATCCCTCCTTGCCGTTGGCAGCTCTGGAAACGCCTCACAAAATCCTTAAAAATCTTCATACATCGTTGGTTAGAAGAATGCACTCTGCCAACTTTTGGCTTGTGTGCGGAATACATCGTAGTGCCCACCATATGGTGCTACGTGGCATCGCTCTATGATATTGTGTCCTTCCTCCGTAGGTACACATCTCCCTAGGAGTCCATTTGAGCAAACTCGGTACAAGTATGTCTCATCCCAGATGTGGCGACGACTCTCGTATTTCAGCTTCCTTTGATTTCCCCCCGGTGGTACGTACTTGGATACCATGTAGTTCACTATGTTTGCATACCATGGGTCGGAGCTGCGCACTGTCATCAGCATATCGTCTCGCAGAAAATCATTTATCGGTGGTTCCTTGATGCGAACCCGCTAGGGTTTGTGGCCCGATCTTTCGATGAGAGGTAAGGGATAACTCGATTGGATGAAGACGACGTTCACGGCCTGACTACAACTGTCCAAAGACGCTGCGCCTTAGCAACCGATACACCGTCTCCAATGGTCGCCGCGAACTTGTGGTGCGCGTCAACCCGGCCACGAGGGCACTCGTCCTGCAAGCAATCGAAGAACAAGCAAGAACAAGTAGGACAAGCACTGAAATTGCTAGATAAAGATGAAAGTTTCACTATCAAACACAATATGGTGGGGTTCCGATTACAGGCAGACGGGCGGTTTAGCCAACACGCGCGCTGCGAGCCGGTAGCAAGAAGCTATCTCTATCATCAAAACCCGCCTGTTCTTGGCGGCGACTAGAGGTATAAGAAGAGGGGAAGAACGACCATAGGGTCGTGCTCCAACCCTAGGACGCGCCCCTAATGGGCCCAACTTGGATACACAGCCCATTGGGCCAAAAGAGGTGACGCAGCACCATGGACAGAAAATAGTCGGGAGTAAAATGACAATTGCGGCCGCTCCAGAACAGATATGGACATGTGGCTGGATCCATTTGAAAGTAGACTTGATAAGCTTTCCATGAAGTACTTGCACGCCCAAATCGGAGTTCGCATGAAGTCGTGGCGGCCGTCAGAAGTTGGCGCTGCCCTGCAGTCCGAATCCACCCCGCGCGAATCCTCTTCCCTTTGGATCCTCTCCATCGTTCCTGAGTAAAACACGAGTGCACGCGTCTCCGGGGTATAAAGACGAGGAATATGAACTCAAGAAAGAACTCACCTGATAATTTAGTTGACGTGCACGAGCGCGGGTAATAGGACCATCATGCTGTATATGGGGGGACGTGGATGTATCGATGGTGTTGATGTCCTCATCATTCCTGCATGTTAGTGACTTGCAATCTCGACAAATGATCTGCTATAGAATTCTCTACTCCCTTTTTATTCTTAATTTCCAAATCGAATTCTTGGAGTAAGAGGATCCATATCAAGAGACGAGGCTTAGCATCTTTCTTGGTGAGTAAGTACTTCAAAGTTGCATGATCGGAATAGATTATGACTTTGGCTCCTGGCAAGTAAGATCGGAATTTATCGATAGCAAAAACAACTGCAAGAAACTCTTTCTCTGTGGTAGCATAATTAAGTTGAGATCCGGTTAGAGTTTTGCTGGCATAGCAGATTATGTGATGCTTTTTATCTTTGGTTTGGCCCAAGACCACACCAGCAGCAAAATCGCTAGCATCACACATGATCTCGAAGGGAAGTGTTCAATCAGGAGGTTGAATGATTGGAGTAGGAACGAGTGCCTTCTTGAGAGTCTCAAAGGATTTTAGGGACGCACCGTCAAAATCAAAGGGAGCGTCCTTAGCTAGCAGGTTAGTCAATGGTCTAGCTATTGTAGAGAAGTCCTTAATGAACCTTCTATAAATGACAACATGACCCAAGAAGCTACGGATCCCCTTGATGTTGACGGGAGGAGGAAGTTGATCTATTATGTCAATCTTAGCCCGATCAACTTTGATTCCCCTCTCTGATATTCAATAACCAAGAACAATCCCTTCGCGGACCAAAAAATGGCACTTTTTCCAATTAAGTACTAGGTCTTTTTCTTGGCATCGTTGCAAGACTTTGTCCAGGTTCTGGAGACAATAACCGAAGGTCTTTCCATAGATCGTCCATGAAGACTTCCATGGTTTCTTTGATCATGACCGAAAAGATGGACATCATGCACCTCTAGAAAGAGGCGGGAGTGTTGCACAACCCAAATGACATCCTACGATATGCATAGGTTCCATATAGGCATGTGAATGTTGTCTTGCTCTGATCTTTAGGATGGATGGGAATTTGATGATAACCGGAATATCCATCAAGGAAACAGAAGGAGTGATTTGCTAGTTGTTCCAACATTTCATCAATGAAGGGCAGCGGAAAATGGTCCTTCTTTGTGGCCTTGTTGAGTTTCCTGTAATCAATGCACATCCTTCATCTCGTGATAGTGCGTTGAGGAATTAGCTCATTATTAGCATTTTCAACGACTGTCATTCCTACTTTCTTAGGCACTACTTGAACTGCGCTAACCCATTCACTGTATAGTACAGGATAGATAATCCCGGCGTGCAGGAGTTTCAGGACCTCTTTCTTTACAACTTCTCTCATCGCATTATTTAGCCGTCTTTGAGGCTACTTGGATGGTGAGCTCTCAGGCTCAATGGGTATGCGATGTGTGCAAAGAGCGGGATTAATTCCCCTGAGATCCTGAAGGGAATAGCCTAGAACTGAGCGATGCTTTTCTAGCACGGTCAGAAGACAACTAGTTTCGTCTTTAGAAAGCTTGTCACTGATAATGACAGGGGCTTCCTTGTCTCCATGTATAAAAGCATAGCGCATGCCTTGAGGAAGGGGTTTGAGTTCTAGCGGAGGTCGCTGCGGTGGTTCAAAACTGGGGAGATCAAGAGTTTCACCAGAGTCATCTTCTTCTTGGATGAAGTCTGGGACATCATTTTCAATGAGTGATTCGTGTGATTCGGACAGTATAACCGCTGCTACTTCATCCGCATACACTTCTTGTCACGCCCTGAAGTTTCCCCCTTCTTCTTTCTTTAAAATTTGGGTTAAATAAATCGTCCGGAGAAATGGTTCAAATTAACCTAGAGCTAATTCCCTAATTAATAAATGCAATTAATAATTGGAATTGGCATTGTGGGATTTTTCTTGGGTTCCACATGTCGCAATGCATTAACAAGATTTTTAGTGGAATTTTCAGAGCCTTAAAAGTAATTTTAACCAATTAAAAATGAGCAAGTGCAATATTTAAATCCCAGGAAAATCATTTCCTTTTTTCTTTTCCTTTCTTTTCCTCCTTTTTCTTGATTGGCCGTCGGCCCATTCTCTCCCACGCTTGGCCTCCCTCTTGCTGGGCCGGCCCAAGCCGCCTCCTCTCCTCCCTTGGGGCGCCGACAGGTGGGGCCCACTTGTCGGTCGTCTCCTACCTCCGGCCGTTGGAGCCGGAGCTCCAACCGCCTCCCGCGCCGCCGCCTTCTCCGCTCCACGTCACGCCCCCACGTCGCGCCCGCACCCCGCGTCCACGTCGCCGCCCACCTCCTCCACCTCTCCCGCGCGCCCGCCCGTTTAGAGGCCGGGATTCGGTTTGAATCCCGTCTCTCCTCTCTCTCTCTCCACCCCCACGTCGCCGGCGAAATCGGGGGGCTATCCCGACCACGTCCGCCCCTCCCTCGCCCATAAAAACACTCCCCAAACCTCCTCTCCCATTTCCCTCACTCGCCGTGCCCTCCTATGCTTCCTACCGCCGCACCGCCACACCCGAGCTCCGCCACCGCCGTCCATCTCCGGCCGCGCGCCGCCGCTGCTAGGGCCTCCGCCAAGCCATGCATTTGCCACCGCTAGCTTCGCCGTCGCGGGAGCTATCCCGGCCGCCGCTCGGTTGCCGCCTACCGCCGCCGCACCGCTCCCTCCACGCCAAGCCTAGCGCTGCCGCTTGCCGCCGCCTCCGACCG